CAATAGGTATGGCCTGGGGTGTAGCTCAGTGCGGGTTGTTAGGGGAGCTTGGCCCTGGGTCTGATCCCCAGCACCACAAACCACAAGTATTAAACTTCATGGTTCTGCGAGTGGTGTGGGCTGGTCTAGGCTGCATTGGCCAGGCCTGGTTAGATTTAGATGGTATTATGACCTGAATATTGGTGTCTCCCCCAAAACTCAGATACTGGAATTCTAACTCCCAAGGGGATGGTATCAGAAGGCGAGCCTTGGGGAGGGGGTTAGATCACGAGGGCAGATTCCTTATAAATGGGTTAATGTCCTCATACAACTGCCTTGACCTTCCCCCACGTGAGGAAGCAGAAAGAACCAGAAAGCAAGGCCCCCGCCAGACAACGAATCTGATGCCACCTAAATCTTGGACTTCTCAGCTTCCGGAAAGGAGAGAAATAAATTTCTATTCTTTGTAAGTCACCTGGTTTGTGGGATTTTTGTTATAGCAGCTCAAACTGAGACAGACGGCCCCATTCACATTACAGTGATGGCCGCAGTCCAGGGTTTCTCCATGGAAGCCGCACGGTCTCCCGTCCTGCAGGAGGCCATCCAGGCCCCACTCGCCCACAGTTGCAAGGGCACCTGCAGCAAGAGGGTGAGACAGAAGCTGCAAGTCCTCCAGGCCTCGGCTCGGAACTCAGGTGACATCGCTTGTGCTACATTCTCTGGGCCAAAGGAAGTTATGAGACCCACTCAGATTCAAGAGAAGAAGAGAAATAGACTCCATCTCTCGTTGGCAGGAGCTGCACATTGACGCCTTCAGGAGTCACACACACAAAAAAAAAATCAAGGAGTTTGAGAATATGCGGAGTTGGGAGAGACTGTGAAAAACCAGATATTTGTCCAGGGTGTGGGTGTAAGTGTACATTGGTACAACCCTACGGAAGGTTATTTTGCAATTGCTCTCAAAATTATAAACATCGAAAAGACCTCCGGATGGAGCAAGACCACTTACCACTTTTGGGAATCTGGCACGTTTGCAAAATGAGACGGACAAAAAGCTCTTTGCAGCATAGTTTGGGATATCAAACGGTGGGAGGATGCCTGCCTAACCCTGCAACGTGTGGGCACCCAGCAGAAAAAAGAGAGAGGACGTGCCTTATGTAACTCAGGTTACGTGACTGTCAAGTGTGAAAATCTCGGGTCAGAACAGTAGGTCGAGAACATTGCAGCGTAGAAATGCAGGAAATGTGCCCATACTTGCTTAAAATGTGTATGCATTAAGTAACTTGATGCCTGACGTCCCCTTACCTCCAGTTCCAAACGAAGGACAGGGAAATGTCCCTGCATGCCTGCCCTTCACTCTTTACCCCACAAGCCTTTGTTTGTACAGTGACTCCTTATTCCCAGCCTGATAACCTCTGGGGAGACTGGCTTCTAATCACGAAGCTCTGGGAGCTGCCTTGACTCCCTCTCCCTTCTGCCCACCTTTCCTGAACCAAGAGGTCTGGATGGTCCAGGAGGGAAGTGAATGAACCCAGTCCCCAGACTTCTTCCTGCTTCGGTGGCCATTCAAGAGAAGCCAGCGCCTGCCAGGATTCTGTCTTTCCTCCTCCGGGTTGGCACCTTTCCAAAGCAAGCTCTTCAAATGTACACACGGATGGAGGGACCCTGCCCCAGTCTGGAAGCCCCAGAGGCTGCGGGTGACCTTGGACTTGTCCTTTCTCTTGCTTGGGATCTCTCCTCTGAGCCAAGGGGCGCGGCGACCTCAGCCTGCCTCTTTCACCGGTCGAATTTATGTTGCTCAATTATCAATGATGACAGTGACAGCCACAGCTAGTGCCTGCTGTCCTAAGTGCTCTGTACGCATCAACTCGTTGACTCCTGGCAGTCACCCCTTGATGCAGGTCCTTGGAGTCACCCCATTTTACAAACGAGGGAACTCCAGGCTCCAAATGCCTTGCCCAAGGCCACGCAGCTCAGAGGCAGCAGTGGCAGAACTGGAATGTCAACCCGGCTGTCTGGTTCCAAAGTGTCCTTCCCCCTCTAGAAGACCTTGAAGCCGGGACTTGGCTGCTGTGAGTTCACACAGCGCTGAGCCACCGGGAAGCCCGGCCCCACAGCCTGGGGCTAAACCCATTCAGCAGATGAACTCACTGAGGCCCAGAAGAGGGGAAGGGACAATCCTAGGGTCACACCTCAGAGAACTCCATCCTCACAGCAGGACTTTCGGCAGGAGTCCAAAGCTCCAGGAAGAGGTGACTTCTACAGAGATGCCCCGAGTGCCACCACAGTGCCCTCTGTTCATTCCCATCGAACAGACGGACAAATCAAGATGGTCCGGCCGTGGGTGTGGGCAGGAGGGTGAGAAGGACGTCACCCAGCTAGGGTAGGCCAATCTTGCTCTTGTTGAAGCCCAGTGGATAATTTAGAGAGACTGAGGTTCAGATCCTGAGGGTTTGTTTTGTTTTATTTGGTACCAGGGATTGAACTCAGGAGCACTTGACCACTGAGCCACCTCCCCAGCCCTATTTTTTGGGTATTTTATTTAGAGACAGGGTCTCACTGAGTGGCTTAGCACCTTGCCATTGCAGAGGCTGGCTTTGAACTCGAGATCTTCCTGCCTCAGCCTCCAGAGTCGCTGGGATGACAGGCGTGTGCCACCGCGCTCAGTTCAAACCCTGAGTTTTGTGGACAAAGCTCTTGACGGCTCTGTGCCTTTGTTTCTCCGTCTACCGAGCGGGAGACTCAGTTTAGATAGGTCCAGATTTGGGGAAAACCTGCCGCCTGGAGACCTCGAGAACCCCCATGGCTTCTGGTTCCTCCCAGAACCCCCCCGTTCCACAACTGCAAGGCTGTGGGTCCATGGAGGCTGCCCACGCGCCACCCTAGCTATGGGGCAGAATTGCCACTGACAACAACCTGACCTATGCTGAACTTGACAGCCAGAGATTTTGCGTCTCTCTCCTGGGGTTAATAATAGAGGCTTGTCCAGGTTGAGTGTCTCTTAACTGAAATGCCCGAGACTGGAAGCGTTTCAGACTTCAGATTTTCTGAGATTTTGGAATATTTGCATTTCACATAATGAGATGTCTTGGGGACGGGAAGCAACTCCAAACGTGAAATTCATTCGTTGCCGATGTCCTTTATACACACAACCGGAAGATAATCATATACAACGTTTTAATAATTTCATGCACGAAACAAAGTCTTGTGATGGGGGCATTTTCTACTTATAGCCTCATGTCTGTGCTTGGAAAATTTCAGATTTTGGAGCATTTCACATTTGGGGCTTGTGGATTAAGGGATGATCAACTGGCGGTGCTATTGCAAGGACTTAATGAGCTAACATCTGTCCGGAGTCACTAGGCAACCTGTTATTGTTATTTTTTTAGTTGTAGGTGGACATATTACCTTTATTTTATTTATTTTATTTGTCTGTGGTGCTGAGGATGGAACCCAGTGCCTCACACATGCCAGGCAATTGCTCCACCACTGAGCCCCAGCCCCAGCCCCAGGCAACCTATTATTAATAATAATTATTAAGATAACGGCACGTGCATATGTCCTTTTGCCTCATGAAATAGCTTGAGGCTCCTGGCATGTGCCTCTCAGGACTCAGTTTCCCCACCTGGGTGCACCCTATGCCCCTCCCTCCTACTAGGTGTCCTAGCAGCGGGGAGGCTGGGTGCGGCCCCTATCTCCCTGGCTATTTGCTTTCCCTCTTCTGGGGCTGCCACCCTGGACAAGGCCCTTGAATAAAAGGCCGGGACACCCGTGTCCTGCTTCCTCCTTTCTGGTCTCAACCATGCTCCGGCTCCTCCCTGCCCTGGTGCTCCTGGGGGCGCTGGCTGCCCCAGAAGGTAAGTATGGTGTGGCCCCTCAGAGTGGGAGACCGGCCCAAGGTCATACAGTTGGTGGGATCTGGCTTTAGAATCCGAGCCTCAGACCCTTCTACCTGGCCTGGTGGTCAGCCGAGGCAGCTGGTTGAGAAAGAGCGTGGTTCTGGAGGGAGGCTGTGTGATTCTCAGCCTGCCACCTGACTTCTCTGTGCGTTAGTCTCCCCACGAATGAAGGGAGCTCTTCATGACTCTCTGGAGCAATTATCATTAGTCTTCGACTTTGCCTGCCTCCTCCCCTTTGGCTCTAATTCTGCCACCTTTGGCCTGGGGTGGGAATTGAGTGGCCTGGATGCCAACCAGGATCCCACTGTGTGATCTTGAACGAGACCCCAAGTCCCTGTGGCCTCGGTTCCCTCATCTAGACGGGGAAGGCGTGAGGCAGGGTCAGCAGTGGGCAGAGGGGGCTTTCTTGAGCCTTGAGGTTGCTTTGAAGAATCTCAGAGGCTCTCGGCAGATCTGGAAGCCTGGGCAGGAGACGGAATCTCCCCTCGGCCCGGCCTCCAGGGGCAGATTCCAACTTTGCCTGCTCAGTTCTGGGTTTGTGAGCAGGATGGGTGGCAGAACGTCCAGTGGGCATGACCGGAGGGTGAGACAGGAACGGGCAGCCACTGTGGGCTGGAGTCCTCTGGGTCCCACCCCCACACCTTGGCCATACTGTGTCTCCCTCTGGAATGGTATTCCCAGTGCTCCAGGAGAATGGCCTCCCTCCCTCCCTCCCTCCCTCCCTCCCTCCTTCCTTCCTTTCTTTCTTTCTTGTACTGGAATTGAACACAGGGGCATTTATCACTGAGGCTCATCCCCAGTCCTTTTTATTTTTCGTTTTTGAGACAGGGTCTCACTAAGTGGCTTAGGGCCTCGATAAATGCTGAGGCTGGCCTCCAACTTGTGATCCTTCTGCCTCAGCCTCCTTAGTAGCGGGGATTACAGAGTGTACCACTGTTCCTGGAGGAAAATGTTTCTTTATCTTTTCTCAACAGCCCTCCAGCCATGGCAACCCCCAATCGTATTCCTGAATCCTGGTGTGTGTGTGTGTGTGTGTGTGTGTGTGTGTGTGTGTGTGTGTGTGTGTGTTTCTTTCTCCTCTCTCCTAAACCATGGGGTTTGATGGCTCCTCTCTCCCCACAGGGGCTTCCAAGACGTGTCCAGCCTGCTCTTCGCTGCGAAATTGCACGGACATCGCTTGTCCTTCTGCCCAGGACTCCTGCTTGTTTAGCCAGATACATCTGGGTGGGGGACCGGCTGGGGTGGGCGGAGAGGGTGGACAAAGGAAATGGGCAGAGGTGGGAGGGGACACCTGGGGCTTGTGCACTGGGTCTCACTGCTCAGCGGGGCGCTGCTGGAGCGGGTGTCGGGGTGGGGTGGACTAAAGCCATGGGGAGGCCCGACATTGGCCTCCGGGGAGGGCTTCAGGGGAACGGAGGCCCCAGGAGGCTCGGGAAGGGAGGCCTTTATTCTCCCCTCCTTGGCCTCTATCCTTAGAAAATGGCACCGTCCTTGAGAGCGGGTCCTGTGTGGCCCCCGGGAGATGCCAAGAAGGTGTCTATGCCCTGACCTACGGTCCCCACTCGGGCCTCTGGATCAGCACGTCGTGCTGTGGAAACTGCAGCTCTCTCCAAAAAGGTTTGTTGGCGGCGGGACCTGGGGGCCGCACACCAGCCAGGGTGACATGGGGACTTGGCCAGGAGTTTCCTGCCCCGGAGCTTCCTGTCTGGTGGATGGGGGTGAGAAGGAGCACCTCAACTTTCCCATCTAGAAAATGGGTACAAAATAAATTCGGTAGGGAGGGATCCCCTTGTTTGGCCCACGGTGGGCACTCTGTATGTTGTAGTTACGCTTCTTGAATTATTGGGGGATGGGGAGAAGCCCAGAACTCTCTTCTCTCCTGAGCCTCTTCTCAGGAATCTCCCTGAAGACTGGTGCAGCAGAATGAGAAGGTTATGGGGTGACATCCGGGTCCAGGGTAAGACCACCTGCCTCGGGCACCAGACTTAAGGAAGAGCTCACCCTGCACTTGCCCACCCTAAGACTGAGTGTCCACTCAGATTTTGTGTCCCTGACGTCACAGTCATCCCAGCGCTGCGTGATAATCAAGATGATTTTTTGTTGCTTGGTTATTTCTTTAAAGAAAGAATTTGTGTTTGGAAGAAGAACAATGGGGAGAGACAGCACTCAGGGCCACCCGGCGTCCTTCCAAACATAACGTCCCGCTTTCTATGTCGGGCACCTTAACAGGAAAACCATGAGGCCCAAGCTGAGAAGTGGGCCTACTGATCAGGGTAGATCAGTTAGGATTATAGCCACATTTAAAAATCCTGTGTGTGATGGTAGATGGAAAGGACCACCCTGGTTGTTTTTTTTCTTTTGGTGGTACCAGGGATTGAACCCCAGGGGATTAACTACTGAGCCACACCCCACCCCTTTTTATATTTTATTTAGAGACAGGGTCTTGCTGAGTTGCTCAGAGCCTCGATAAGCTGCTGAGGCTGGCTTTGAACTCCTCAGCCTCCTGTCTCAGCCTCCTGAGCTGGTAGAATTACAGGTGGTCGCCACCATGCCTGGCCTGCTAATTGTCTTTTGATAAAGGGTCTATGGCCACATTGTCCAATAGAAATGTAACACGAGCCATCTCTCTAATTAAAACTTCTCTAGTAGCTGCCTTAAATTTTTGGGGGGGGTGGCACGTGCCTGTAATCCCAGTGATTCTAGGGAAGCAGGAGCATTGCAAGTTGAAGGCTAGCCTCAGCAATTTAGCAAAACCCTGAGTCAAAATAAAAAATAAAAATAAAAAGGACTAGTGACTAACTCAGTGGTAAAGTGTCCCTGGATTGAACCCCCAGAACCCACGCCCGGAATAAATAAACAAACAAATAAAAATAGAAACAGCTCTATAATAATGTTTTCTTAAGTCAACTTATTCAGGATGGGCCTCTATTAAGATGATTTAAAAATTTTTTTGTAGTTGTAGATGGACAGAATGCCTTTATTATATTTTTCTATTTCTATGTGGTGCTGAGGATCGAACCCAGTGCCTCACACATGCTAGGCAAGTGCTCTACCACGGAGCTACAGCCCAGCCCTTTTTTTTTTTTTTTTTTGAGAAAAAGCAAAAAGAAGTTTTATTGATTAGCTAGCAAATGAGAAGGCAGCAGACTCATGTGTCAGGGGAGCAGAAGGCTTTTAAACGGGATACAAAGGCTAAGTTCCAGATGTGCATATCAGCAGTCATAATTCATAACCAAATGGTAGCCTGGAGAGAGAGCTATTTCTTAGACTGCTGGTACCAGCTCCCAAGTCTGGATTTCTTCATTCCTGTGGTCAGTGAGCCAAAGGAAGGACAGGTAACTTGGCCTAGGATTGGGAGAATGTTAGTGGTTTCAGAGGTCCCCATCCATAGAAGGCTGGCTCCATTCCCTGGGGCTCGGGATGAGGAAGACATCATGGCGGAGTCTTTGGCAGAGGGAAGCAGCTCACATGATGATCAGGAAGCAGAGAGAGCTTAAGATGATTCTTGGCTGGGTTTTTACTTTACTCATACCTAAATGACTTCCTTTTAAATGTTTCCGATCTCTAAGGAAGCATTCAAAATTAATCAGATGATGGCGGTGAACCTGGAAGGCAGGGCTGTACTCTTTTGCAGAATACCACAACATCTCGAGCCCGAAACAACAGGATCACTTTTGTAATCAATTCTGAAATTCAAGATCCCTAAGAAAGGAAGGGCTCTCATCTGTTGTCATTGCTGTGTCTCCAGGGCCTAGAAGAGGGCTTGGTACACAGTTGGTGCTCAAGAAGCATTTGTGGAATGAATAAAAGAAACTTTAGGATCCAACTGGAAGGTTTTTTTTTTTTTAGAACAAATGAGCAGAATTGGGCTGCTGTTAGTGGCTCCTTAGAATAACTCTTTGGGGGTTGGAAGGAGGCATCTGAGACCAGACTGGTCCCATTTTGACAGAAAGTGATCTGGATCGTTCCTCGAGGGCAGTGAGGGTGGGGCATGCAGACAGAGAGAGGGGGGAGATAGAATCGAGGGCTGGTGGGGGGAGGAGGGCTGGGAGGAGGGTTCCTTCATCTTCGTCCCACTCTGAATATACCTACTTCCACCAGAGGCAGGGCCCAAGGCCCAGCCCAACGCAGTGAAGTGTCCTTACTGTTCCGGGGATCATTCCACCTCATGTGACTCCATTTCGATCATGAACTGCACCGGGAACCAGACTGTGTGCGTCACTCTCAACGGGACTTGGAGCAGAGGTAAGGGCTCCCTTTGGGAAGTCATTTGCCTGGCAGACGCCCCTCCTCCCTGCACAAATAAGTGTGGAGGATCATTTACATGCATGTTTGGATTATCTCTTGTTATTCAAGAAAACACCTGCAAACTCTGAGGCTTCACATGACCCTCTTTTATGCTTTCTATGGACTGGGAATTCAGGAAGAGCTCAGCCAGACAGTTCTGGGTGTCTCATGTGTTTAGACTCAGAAGGTGGCTAGAGCTGGAATCAAGAGCAGGGCCAACCTGGGTACAGTGGTGTGTACCTGTCATCCCAGCAGCAGAGGAGGCTGAAACAGGAGGATCGCAAGTTCAAAGCCAGTCTCAGCAAAAGCAAGGCATTAAGCAACTCAGTGAGACCCTGTCTCTGAATAAAATACAAAAAAAGGGCTGGGGATGTGGCTCAGTGGCTGAGTGTCCCTGAGTTCAATCCCTGGTACCTCCACAACTCCTGAGAAACGAGCAGGGCCAAGAACAGCAGGGCGCTGGCTGAACATCTCTCACACACGGAGTCCCTGGGCCTTTCCATGTGGTCTGTCCACATTGGTTAGCTTGAGCTTCCCTCACATCATGGCTGTCTCAGGGTCCTTGATGTGGTAGTTGAAGACTTCCCTCAGCGAAGGAGGTGGCAGCCTCCAGAACTTTTATGACCTAGCCTTGGAAGTCACATAAAGTTACTTCTACCATAGTTTATTGATTGAAATGGTCACGAAATTTCATCTAGTTTCGTGGTGGGAGGTGTAGATAAGCACAGATGCCACCGGTTAATGTGTCAGAGAATTTGAAGATGCATCTTATTTTATTTTTGAAGTACTGAGGATTGAGCTCAGGGGCACTCTGCCACCAAACTACACCCCCAGTCCTTTTTTATTTTTACTTCAAGACAGGATCTCACTAAGTTGCCAAGGCTGGCCTCAAGCTTGTGATCATCCTGCTTTAGCCTCCGAAGTTGCTGGGATTTTACAGGCATCCACCATTGCACCAGCTGAAGATGCATTTTAAAATTACTAATGTCGGTTTGCAAAACGTTGAGGCAGAGGCTTTTTCAGCAAAAGCCCTAGGATAGAACCATCCTGCTCAGAGCATAGACTAACTCTGAAGCCAATAAAGGGACACAGAGAAGTGACCTAGACTTCTGCTGCTGGCGGTGAGGTAGACCAGATATCCAAAGTGTCTCTCTGCTCTAAACAGTGGCATGCTGGGAAGGAGTTGGGGAGAGGGATCCACTCTGGCAGGGAGGAATATTTTATCACTGACGTTGTTTAAAATTGTTGGTGCATGGTGATAATAAAAAGCAGATTTACTTTTAGTTGATTTTTTTTTAATGCTGTACAGACATACACTCCCTTATAGCCTGCTCCCAATGACAGGCTGCTCCCACTAGCCACCCTTGCCTCTTAGTATGTCACCATTTACAGATAAGCTAGATCTTGTACACAAAAAAAAATATGCATTTTTCATGCCGTTTGGAGCTTTCAGGAAGCTAAGGAAATTTCCAAGGGTCCCTAAACAAAACAAAAATGTGAGCAGAAGTCAGAATGAGAGCAGTGAGAGAATGTGAAAATCACAGTGGCCCTGAGAACAGATGCTGATAATGGCCCGCTGTGGGTAAATAGGTCTCAGCACAGCAGATCGGTCAGGGAGCTGACCCTTGTGTTCCCACATAAGATAGGACCTTCGAAAGAGGCTGAAAAGACCCCGGGTTGGTAACATCACCAGGTCTGTATAGAAACAAAAGCAAAGCCTCCCAGAGGAAAACCTCCAAGGATTCCCATAGATCCACATCAACCAAACGTGAGCTCACCCTCAGAGCTCCTGAAACACAAGGAAGTAAGTCACCATGAGGAACAGCAGAAACAACAAATCACAGATGTGGACCCGCGAGGAGCTCAGCTATCATAGTTATCAGCTGCAGAACGTCATACACCTCTATGTGAGAGACCTGAAGGCATGAGTTTGAATCACAAAAAAGAGCATCAAGAAGAGGCTGTAAAAAAAAAAAATAAATGGCAAAGTGGGGCTAGGGCTGTAGCTTAGTGGCAGAGCGCTTGCCTAGCACAGGGTTTGATCCCTAGCACCACATAAAAACAAATAAATAAAATAAAATAAAATAATTTTTAAAAACGGCAACGTAGATTTGAATATGAATCATACAGAACTCCTGAGAGGCTGCCAAGAGATGGGAACTTGCTGACAGAAAGAGACAGACATGAGGTGGAGTCTTTGACTCTTTTGAGTCTCGCCCCTCAACTTCCTCTTATTTCTGCAGGAGGTCCCCAGATCCTGAAAGGCTGTGCTACACCAGAGATCTGCCACCTGAAAGCGAATGACACTCTGGGCCCGGAGGCGGCTGGATTTCGTCTCACCACGAAGCCTGATTGCAGTTCCCTGGCTCCGCCCACACAACCAGGTGCTTTGAGCCCTGCCTTCCAGGAACCCCACCCTGTCAGTCCTCCCCAAGCCCCAATTCTCTTCCCAACCCTAAATGTTCATTCCCTCAGGGTACACTGTCCCCTACTCTAATGCTCCCAAGGAATACAGTTATCCATAGGCACACACAAACAGCACCCCACACACCCAGAAGCAGAAAACCATGGGTACATGCACAGACACGCACAGTTCTACCTCAGCACCCACCACACGTGGACAGAGGTGCATGAACTTCAACGTGAACATCCTGTGATGTGTAGAGATCTGAACTCCGTTTAAGGAACAAAGATGATGTTCTTTTTATTTCTTCACTTCCTCGTTTGTGAAAGAAGACAGATTTGTCAATCGTCTTCTTTTGGATTACCAAAGAACATTCACAATCATTTTTTTGTCTTCCGGAAAAAGAGAGATGCTAATTGGAATAGTATTTACTGGGGTAACAGTATATGAAGCGATTCGTTTGAACAGCATCCTGGACTTTTTAGAGGTCCATCATGAAAGGCAAATTTCCCTGGACAGAGCAGCGTTCTCTCAGTTCTAGGGACGTAGAAGATGCCTTTGTTGGCAACTGCGCAGCCAGGATCGTTCTGCGAGGCAGAGAAAGATCTGCTCCCTTACCCTGTGAGCAGAGCAGGAGCATCCTCACCTTAGCTTCCTCAAATTCCCAGCTGCCTACAGTTTCACTTTCCCAAACTAAGCAGTGGGTCAAATGAATTATCACAATGAAGGGGGAGAAAAGGCAGACTTGGGAGCTTGAAATTTACAACACACAAAGAAAAAGGGTCAAAAATGATTGCCAGCTACAGGAACTTGGGTCTTGGAAGTTTTGCCTACATGATCTCTAGGTATAGAGACAAAACACACCCATGCATGGAGATGGGGATCCTCAGATCCATGTTCAGGGACCGGGAAAGACAGGTACAGACATACACAAGCATGCAGAAGTACCCACTGTCGGCAGGCACACCAACGCACATTACTGACATCTGTGAACACTCACAGCTGTACACTGACACATCCGAGTACCCCAAACCTCACTGGAAACAGACACAGCCGGCCCCAGCAGCACTCATAGACCCACAAAACCAGCCTTAAACACACACATAGACACATAGATCCACTCATACCCATATGCACATAGTCACTTACTTGTGCGAGGTGGGGCACAGGGGCACACACAACACCATCGCCCCAGCCCCCAACCAGTTCCAGAAACACACAGACAATTCAACACAGGCGTGTACAGCCAGATGTGCACCCAGGAAACAGCCCCCACGAGCAGCATCACAGCAAATGTGCACACACAAAAGCACTTTTGCACTCTAAGGGCACATACAGATGTGCCCAGAAATTTTTGCAAGTACACATGCACAAGCTCGCTCTCGCACGCACGCATGCACGCACGCACACACACAAAGATTTTCTTTCTCTCCTCAGGTCCCCATGCAAAAGTGACCCATACCAAGGCAAAGGCCACCATCTGTTTCACCTGCTCAGACCTCTACCATTGCAACCCTGTCTCCTGCCCGGAGGACAGGAACTACTGCCTTCAGACGGCAGGAATCACAGGTGAGTGCCCGCGGGAGCAGAGACAGGCCCTGAGACACAGTAAGACTTCTTGCCTTTCCGTGTCTGCGGCCTCCACTTTTTATGGCCACTCAGGGAAGAGGCTCGGGGCAGCAGAAGGTGTGATCTAATGACATTTGGTTGAGCTCTTGCTAAGTAGCCATCCCCTTGAGAGGCTGAGGCAGGAGGATCACAAGTTTAAGGCCAGTCCTAAGCAACTTAGTGAGACCCTGTCTCAAAATAAAAAAAAAAAAAAAAAGGGTCTGAGGATGTGGCTCAGTGGTCAAGTGCCTCTGAGTTCAATCTCCAATGCAAAAAAAAAAAAAAAAATGGCTCAACCGGTCACAAGAGGACAAATATTATTCAAATTTATTATATATGACAGCAGAATGCATTTCGATTCACAGCACACATATAGAGCACAATTTTTCATGTCTCTGGCTGTACACAAAGTACTTCACCCTTTTCGTGTCTTACCTGTACTTGGGGTAATGATGTCCATCTCATCCCACCATCTTTAGGGTTTCAGTTTAAAAAAAAAAAAGTCTAGAGATCTGTTACACAATAATGTGAGTATAGTTAACCATTGAACTCTACACTTAACATGGTTAAGAAGGCAGATTTCATTTGATTTTTAACCACCATTTTGCAGTTTAAAACAATGGCTTAGCTGGGTGTGGTGGTGCACGCCTGTGATCCCAGCTGCTCTCGAAGCTGAGGGGGGAGGATCATGAGTTCCAAACCAGCCTCAATAACTTAGGGAGACCCTGTCTCTAAATAAAATATTTAAAAAGGGCTGGGGATATGGCTTGGTGGTTAAGCACCCCTGGGTTCAATCCCCAGTACCAAAAAAAAAAAAAAAAAAACCCCACCAACTTAAATAATTCTTTGTTATTTCTCATGATTCGCCATCTTGGGCTCCAATGGGCAGCTCTTCCACTCCAGGGGGTGAAAGCCGAGGTCACTTATATGGTGACTTCAGCTGGGAACTTGACGGGCACTGGAGGCCCCTCATCCCCCAGGGCCTCTGTCTGTGGGGGCTCTTGGCAGCTGTACCTCAGCCTCAGCTTCCCGAGAAGAAAACAGTGGAAACCTCCAGGCCTCTCGGGAGACAGGCCCAGGCCTGGCACAGCACCACGGTGCCACACTCTGTTGACCAGAGCAAGTCGCAGATTGAACGGGTGAGGAAGCAGATCCTCCTCTTCGCTGAGGGAGTCACAGTGACATTGCTGAGGGCTGGGAGATTGGGTGGTGGCCATCTTGGCATCTGGGCAGCAAGCCCCAAGATCCCTGTCTCTCTGCTCCAATAAAGGGGGAAAACGGGTCTTTCCTGTAAATGGGAAGAGGAATTGAACTTGCAGCCAGCTCTCTGCTGTCTTCCAGCAGCATGAAGAGTGCACAGGCCCAGAGAACTGAGTACCAATCTGAGTACCAAGCCCGTGAGGTGCTCACAGGCAGAGAGGGGAGACTCACAGAGGCCCCCTGTGGATGGGGACCCTTCGGGAGAAGGCAGAGTGTCAAGGAAGGTTTTCTGAGTGTGTCTTCGGGAGCAATGACCACACTGGATGTGTTATGGGGGCTCAGGCAGGGTGGATGACAATGGCGTGACATTTAAAGGGACTTGGGGGAGTTCCATTAGAGGGTGGCTTGTGGCTGCTTTTCTCACGAGTCTGCCCTCCGCCTCTCTCCAGCCTTTGGGGAAGGAAACTCAGTGGCCTGGAGAAATGGTTCCTGCGTGGCCTCCAAGGATTGTAAATGGGACAGATCTGTCTCTGCCTTGACCTACGGGGCTCGGCTCGGCTTCTGGGTCAACACCACCTGTTGCCGAGGCAACTGCCAGAAGCCCACTCCTCTCGGTACGCTGCCACCAGCAAGCAGTCAGATGGGTGGCCAAGGAAGTGGTGGGTGGCTTTGGAGGGGGACTTGGCCTCCATTGAGGGAGGTAGGTGGGCAAGAACATCAACCCCCATCCCCCAACGGGTTCCCTAAGTCACCGGACCCCAGCTCAGCGGGAAATCTCATGAAGGTCATTCCCCTGTGGTAGAGTGTATTGAGTGCACCAGGGCCCGGGAGGCTCTGAGAGTCCTCTTGGCTGACCGTCCACTTCCCCTCTACAGCAGCTCTGCCGGCCTCCCGCCCCGTGAGCAAGTTCCTGTGCCCTACATGTGCAGGGGGCCACCAGGGACCCTGCAATTCGTCCCTCTACATGCAGTGTCCCCATTGGATGACCGAGTGTGTCCAACTGAACCTGATATCTGAAGGAGGTAATGAGATGTGCGTGTGTGTGTGTGCGCGTGTGTGCATGTTCACACACAGGTGAGTTGAGCATGCTGGTTTTCGATGAAGACAGGCCAGCGTTTGGGTTTTCTCCCCATTTACTGTGTGGCCTGTGACAAGCAACTTCAACTTTACGAGCTTCAGTTTCTCTTCCAGTCAATGGAGATGGTAGCTGCACACTTTCCCCCTGAGGGTTCGTAAGGTCTGAGAGAGCTGTGGAGAGAAGCAATAGGGTAGATAGCACAAGAGCAGGACTCTGGGGCCCAGGCCACCTGGGTTCAAATCCTGGATCCACCACTTTGGAGCTGGGTGATGTCAGGCAGGTGGTTTAGCCTCTCTGTGCTTCCATTTTCCCGTTCAAAAAAGGAGGCAATAAAAGTCTCTAAGACATAATACTGTTGCAAAGAAAATCAGATAATCCGTTAAACTCCTACAGGAGCGCTATCCAAAAGCTATATAACGTGAGTCACATGTATAATTTAAAATTTTCTAGTAGCCTCATTAAACAATTAAAAAGTAGCAGGGGAAATTAACTTAATAACATCTGGTTCAACCCAACGTCTCCAGCTATTATCATTCCCACACGCAATCAATGTAAGAGATTGTAAGCGAGATATCTTGCATTCGATTTTTCTAAGTCTTTGAAATTGGGTGTTTATTTTTCACTCACAACACGTGTCAATTCAGACGGTCTACATCTCAGGTGTTCAATAGCCACATGTGGCTAGTGATTATCATGTCGAACAGCGTCACTCTAGAATACAGGAAGTGCTGTCAATGGGGCTGCAACAAACCTCAGGGATTTTGCTGGGAAAAAGGAAGAAATGAACACGGGGGTGGGGGGGGAGCGTCTTGGAAGGGGTCATGGCAGGCGTGTGTGTGTGAGGCTTGTGGGCCTCACAGGCCTTCCCTCCGTCGCTGAGAAGTGTGTGTCTGTGTGTTTCTGGGGCGGGGTATCCATGGATGGGGTTGGCAGGTGCTTTTGTGTTATGTGTGGGGCGCCTGGGGATGGGAGCCATATGTGATTGAGTATGTGTGTGTGCATGGGTGCACATGTGGGGGTGAGTGTGCAAGAGAATGGGTTTGGAACGGTGACTCATAAATGACCCTGTGAACGTACGTACTAGTTCATCCCAAATGAGACAAATAGAAACCACACTGAAGCTTATGGTTCTTTTTAACTTTTGGGGGGGATTGAACCCAGGGTCACTTTACACTGAGCCACACCCCAGCCCTTTCTATTTTTCAGTTTGAGGCCGGGTCTCACTCAGTTGCTGAGACTGGCCTCAAACTAGTGATCCTCCTGCCTCAGCCTCCTGAGCCACTGGGATTACAGGCCTGCACCACCGCACCCAGCTCTTTTTAACATTTTTTTTTTTAAGTTATGGAGAAGTTGGTCAAACATAAATAAAAATGGGAATAGTTTAATAAATCCCCATTATACCTTTTACCCCACTCTGCTATTGCCGCCTGATGGCCTCATATTATTTTGAAGCAAATTCAGATATCGTATCACTTTCTCTGTACAAATTTCCATCTCTCTCTCTATATATATATAAAAGATAAGGACTTAAAAATAACCTGTAGTTGCGAGGGTTTTTTAATTGGAACAATGAGACCCTTTTACTTGCACGTCCCCCATCAAGTCCTCCATAAACTGGTCATTTGCATATTTATACTTATACAGAAACCTACCACCTCACCTCATGATATCAAACACACCTCTGCAGAATCAGAGGGAAAAAATTGCAAATGTGTGGAACCAAGCAGCATTCGGGTCTCGGTGTTTGTGAGCACTGAACCTTAAGGGAAAGCATACCTACAAGGTAGAAAGGAGAGGTAAGAGGGGCAGCCCTGACCAGCCCCAGGTCAAGGGACCGAACGAGCCCGGTAGGTCTCACCAAGGACCGGGCCCCATCTGGTGCCAGCCGGGCGTGTGCAAGGTGGTGTGCAG